CTGAAAAGGCACATGTAAAAATCTGATACTTCCATTGTCCCTCCTCAGACCTCCCATGTGACGGAATTTGCCTAGAGCTGTGTCTCTTTGGGTGCTATTTTTGGCCTCTCTAAAAGTTTGTGGATTTGCTTTTTGAGACAGGGTCTGGAGCTCACTCCGTGTCTTGAACTCATAGTGATCCTCCTGCTCCAGTCTCCTAAGTGTGTGGTTTCATGTATGAATCACAATGCCTGACTTGAACTTGGTTTTTATTTCAGTGTGAATAGCAGAGAAACACAAGTTCCATGCTCTACTACACATTAAGAGTAACAGTAGTTGCTGAAATGATCTGACACAAAGATAGGTCAAAGAGACATTCAGTGTCCCATTTGTGTGTGTATGTACTCAGGAGCAAGATGTCAGTCATGGGTGTAGTTCTTTAGAAGATGTCCATAATATTTTTTAATTGGCCTGGAACTTGATGATTCATCTAGACTTTCTGACCAGCAAACTGTAGGGATCCTCCTGTCTCTACCCCTCCAGCACTGGAAAAACAAGATAAGATCTCACTATGTAGTTAAGGCTGTTGGGAAATTGTGACTCTTCTGCTTCAGGCTCCTGAGCTGTTGGGATTTTAGGCATGTGCCACCAAGCTTGGCTTAATAATGGAAATTCCTAGGCTATGTATGGATATACCTGTGAAAACAATTTTTAATACACCTAAGAGATTGTACCTAAAATTCTTACTTGATTTGTTGAGTAGTCTACTATTGCATATTTAGTTTTGAATTTGACATGACTTCAAATCCCTACCACTCTCTTCTTCCTTTCCCTTTCCTTTTCTTCCTTCAGACAAAGTTTTGCTACCTAGTGAGGCTGATTTCAAACTCAAAAATCTCCCTTCGCCAGTCTCCTGAATGTTGGGATCACCCCACCATGCCCAGTACTACTTTTCTTTGATTCTAAGTAATTGGAAGTTTTGATCTTTATGAAGATTGCTGTTAACTGATGCCTTGTGACCAGGATAATAGGCTACTTCATAAATTCGACGTGGTTGTATTGACATGTGGATGTTTACACAATGACAGCAATACTGATTTAATAGGAAGGCAACTAGAATCTGGAACTCAGACTCGCAAGTCATGATCTTAGTATATAATTAAGGGTGTGTGTGTGTGTGTGTGTGTGTGTGTGTGTGTTTACTTGTGGGTGGATGCATGTAGATAACAGAAGAGGATAATTTCCTCAATCCCTCTCCATTTTATTTTAGTGGGCTGAGGTCTCTTGTCGAACTTAGACCTTAAGGATTTGGCCGCTGTTTCAGGAGACCAAAGATTGGCTTCCCAAAGACACATGGTGATTTACAATCATTTGTAACTTCATTCCCAGAGGATCCACTGCCCTCTAGCTAGTGAGGGATCCCCGGCCTCTGCCTCTCCCTTGTTGGGATTATAGGAGAGTCACTGTGCCGACTAAGTTTTAGAAATCTGAGCTCAGATGATCACACTTTTTCAGCAAGATTTTTATTCACTGAGCTACCTCCCTGGTTCCTCACTCAACAAGTTTTTAAACAGGTAAAATATATATTATCAATAAAATTTGTAGACAGAATTACTACTGTGGGTTTTTGTGGGAAAACAGTTTTAGCCTGTTCCATTACAGCCAACGTGAAAAGTCAGACACCTGTTAAAACTTAGGAGGCCTCATTCTACCAAACGGGAAGAATTTCTAACAAACCTATCAATGTTTAACAATTTTAACAAGGTTGTAAAATGTGTTGTATGTTAGCTGTGAATCATTTTACAGTAAAATCTGTAGACTTCCTGGCAAAGTCATCTTCACTGCAAGCCATGTGTTTGCAGTCAGACTTGGAGTTATGTGAATGTGGGAAGCTAAAATCAGATTCCACAAGTAACCCAGATGCTGGAGTGGGCAGCCCCAGAATCCTGAATTTTGTCTAAACCCTCTTTGACAAGTGATTCCCTGACATTTCCACATCTGAGAGGTAAGATGAGGCAGACACCAGCTTAAGAGTGGGATCCAGTTCTGAAAAGAGGTCCCTGATGTCTTTAGACCTCTGTGACTACCTAACTTCTGGTAACATCACTATATGCAGCATGGTCTCCTCAAAGAAATGAAGATCTAGGGCCTGAGTGATGGCTCAGCTGTTAACAACACTGACTGCTCTTTCAGAGGACCCAGGTTTGATTCCCAGTATATACCCAATGATTCACAATGATCTGGAACTCCAGACCCAGGGGCTCCCCCAACTTCTTCTGGCCTCTGTGGATACTACTCACATATGGCACACAGACATAATGCAGGAAAAACAGACATAAAATAAAGGTTGAAAAAAATGAAGGTCTAGTGAGGAAAGGAAGAAGCACACAGGGACAGTTTTATAATTTTTTTAAAAAATGCTTCAAGATCCCTGGTGGAAGTTGGCAGCAGAAATGCTGTAGGCCCCAAATGGTGGTAGTGGGACTTGTGGTGGCAGACAATGGGCCCTGGGAGCAGCCAGTCCCAGGCAGAGATGGCTGCCAGTCCCAGAGTGGTGGCATAAGCGATGGTGGCAGGCCATGTGGCAGCAGGCAGCAGGCCCTGAGAGCAGTCAATCTCAGGCAGAGATTGCTGCTGGTTCCTGAGTAATGGCTGGTCCCAGGCAGGGGGACACATGTCGGCGGGCAGAAGACAGAAACATGAATAGAAACAACATGCAGAGTGAGGTTGAATATTTATTCAAGGTGGTTATGGAGGGGGAAGAATGAAGGGGGAGAGAGAGAGAGAGCAGAAGAGAGAGTGACAGAAGGGGGGAAGCAGAGAAGTGGGGAGAGAGGCAGAAGTTAAGCTGCCTCTCAGAGAGGAAGATGGAAAAGAGAGTGAGCTCAGGCAGGACGCTAAAAATCAGCCAGACTCAGCAGATGGGGAGAGAGTGGGCGTGGCTTGTCTCTAAAGGGACCAGGGACCAAAACCATAACAGACAGAAGGTGGCATGATAGTTCTGTGGGTAGAATTTCACTGAAGGCTGCTGTGGCCTGTCTCACTAAGAGGGCCTGAAAATAGCATGCTATGGAAATGTCCATCTCTACCAACTTTCCTGACCCAGGGATTGCCACTGGAATGCAGCTACCCTGCTTTGACATTAGAAGGCTGAGTAATGGACGGTTGGGGCAGGGGAATGGTCACCTTGGTTCATCAGAGAATGAATGGAATAGACTGGCATTCCCGCACACTGGACTCTACAAGGGTTTGCTCTGCCCAGATTTCCTGGGTTTAGGTCCCAATATATTGAGTGAATCAGGAGAACAGAGATGACTCAACAGTCTTTGTCCCCACTGTGATAAAGCAGCCCCCAAATGAAGGGGAAAGGTCAGTTTAAAAGGGTGACTTCATGATACACTGTGACACTGACCTTCCTGGTTTCTGTTGAAACCAGTTCAAACTAGTTAAGAGGATATTACTATGGGGCATCTTGAGCAATCTTAAACTGTGATCTTCGCACAAATCGATTTAATCCACATAGTATCCATGTACAAATACAACTTAAAATATGATTATAGAATATTCTATTATAGTTTGTTTTCTTAGATAGTCTTAAGACATACTTAAGGACTTCATTTTAAGCTTTTCTGCAATCCTGTCTTCTTTTCTTCAACTCTAGAGACCAAACACTGGGCCTTGTGTGTGACAGGTAAGCACTACATGGCCAGGCTATTGCCCTGTTGTACACAGTCATTGCATTCTTGTGCATGAATGAAGAACCTGGCAGTAGCCCTGAGTTTTCCATATTATGACACTAGGCATGTTGTTTGCAGTGAGCAAAGCTTGTGATTCTAAATCAAACTTCAAAATGTTCAGGGTCTTTGCATTAAGGTGATAGCTACTCACATTTGTAATGTTCTTCTTAGTTTATAAATTCCTTTCTGCATATTTGCTTTAATCTGTAAATGCATTCTTGTAATCCAATATCATCTTTCTTACTTTAAGCTGGAAGATATGGAAGCTCAAAGTTTTAAGAAACTTGTTTAAAATCAAACACTATGGGATATTTGGAGGAACCTCAGGCACTGGGAAAGACTTTATAATCTTCTGTATGGGGTGACTACCTTGGGTTGTCATTATACCACTGTTTTTCCAGCTCTCTTGAGCCATAGTAAGTCCCTGCCACTAGCTGACTTGGTTCATACATAGTATCTTAGTTCGCCTTCCAGTGCTGTGATAAACACCATGACCATAAGGAACTTGGGGAGAAAAGGGTGTTTTTTTTTTTTAATCTTTGCAGTTTATCATCAGAGGAAACCTAGGTAGAAACTCAAGTAGAGCAAAATCCTGGAAGCAGGAACTGAAGCAGAGATCATTGGGAAATGCAGTATATGGCTTGTTCTCTGTGTGTTGCTTCATTTATTTTCTTATATAATACGGGACCATCTGGCTATGGGGTAGTACCATCCACAGTGGGTCACGCCCTTTCACATCAATCATCAATCAAGATAGTACACCACCAAGGTTCCTTCTTCTTAGTTGACCTTGACTTGTGTCAAGCTGACAACAAAATAAAACAAACTAGAACAACAACAACAACAACAAACTAGCCAACACACATAAGATCCTTCACACATCACTTACTTCTGATATTGCTGTGATTGCTATTTTAGTTATTCAATTCCATCTTCCTTTTAGTATCCTGTCACATTAAGGTGACCCCATGGTACAAACATAGGCCATGATACAGTTTGGATAAAACTTGTATTCGGTTGTTTCTTTGTGAAGTAGAGGAAGGTTGGAGATGGAGGAGAGACAGAAAGAGATGTGCATGTTTCCGCGGTTGGACAGGAAGGAAGGGGTAGTCATGTGACCTTTTGTCAGCAGATGTGGGAAGCTGGGCAGTGGGTGGAATGGTTTGGGACATAACTCCACTCTGCTTATTTTCCCTTGCTCTTAGTTGACTTGGCTAGCTGTTGTCTTTGCTTAGTCTGCTCATACTTTTCTCCCTGTTCCTAATTCTCTTTGGATGCTCACAGTTGCAGAAGATTGAGTGACATCTTTTGGCTTCTGTCAAGCCCAGAACTTGAATCCCATCAGAAAGCCTTCTGCTTCTCCTAGCCTTTGTTTGTGAATGAGTAAGTAAATGTACCTGTATAAACATATTCTCTCTCTCTCTCTCTCCCTCTCTCTCCCCTCCTTTCTTAAATGCTAATAAAATAATAAAGGTTTATCTTGATTACTTTTTTATTGCTGTGAAGAGGTGCCATGATCAAAGCATTTACTTGAGTGAGTACTTATACTTTCAAAGATGAATCCATGACCACCATGGTGGAGTGAACACGGCAGCAGGCAGGCAGGCATGGTACTGGAGCAGTAGCTGAGTATAAACAAAGAATGGGATTTCATTTCCTGACCACCCATACCCAAAAAATCACACAGAAACTATATTAATTACAACACTGCTTGGCCAACAGCTTGGGAAAATTTATAGCTAGTTCTTATATCTTAAATGAATCCATTTCTATTCATCTGTGTATCACCACAAGGCTGTGACTTACTGATAATGTTCTGGTGTCTTTCTTCTTTGGCAGCTACATGAAGTCTCCCTGACTTCACATTCTTCCTCTATCTCTGTTTGTATTTCCCCCTTGCTGTATTCCACCCTGCTGCAGGACAAAGCAGCTTCTTTGTTCATCTACTGTAATAAAACATTCACAGAATAGAGAGGAGAATCCCATATCAACTCCTCTTTTCTGTCTAAATAAAAAGGAAGTTTTAAAATTTTAATAGCCAATACCTTACATCTTGCCCTCAAGTTGGAGGCAGAGAGAGAGATAGAAATAGATATGGATGATGGATAGACAGACAGATAGGTCAAGAGAAAGAGAGAGGGACACTAGGCCTGGGGTGGGCTTTTGAAACCTCAAAGTGTACCTCCAGTGGCCCACCTCCTAATCCTTCCCAAACAGTTCTACTAACTAGAGACTAGGCATTCAAACATATAAACCTATGGAAGCCAATCTCATTCAGATCACAAGTACTTCAGACACAACAATGTTAACAGATCAAACCATGTCCTAGAAAGATGGAAGAAGGCTTGGAACCCAGCATCAGGTGGGAACTGCAGCCACACTGAGGGGGCCATCTGGCAGAGGAGCTCCTTAGAGAATAAGCCTTTGGTCAGAAGTGGCCAGATGGGAATCCTGATGTCTGGTATTCTGACACCTGACCACTGTTTGCTGTTGCTGTTGCTCACCACTGTCCAGACCTAAAGGACACTGATCAGTAGAAATCCTCCAGAGTGCAGCAGGTGGGGAGAGAAGTCATCTAACATGCAGACACATCTTGTGCAGTGTAAAACCCTTGCATAGAATCTTGTCATGAACTGACCACCATCTCCAAGTCCCCATTTTGAAACCACTGTATGAAGAATACTTGGGTTCCCTTTTAGTTCCCAGCTCATTTGTTGCTGTGTGTCCTCTGACTGTACCCTGGTGACTGACTGTAGCTTTTCCTTCTTCCTTCCTCGAGTCCATGCTTGGCACAGACTCTTGTTAAAAGACTTAATAATCTTCAATAGAATTACTAAAGACAGTCTCTTTGTACATGGTCTTTCCCCCAGGGAAGCAATATGTGAATATCTTTTCTTCCTGAAGGACTGAAAAATACTAAAAGCTAAATGAGTTTTTTTTTTTTTTGAGTAAAAAGTGGGAGCATGAAGAAATATATAGTTGTCTACAAGAGGGTGATCTAGCTTTTCAGGGATGTGTCAAAGCAGATTAGCCATTGGGGTACAGCAGAGAAAGTGCTCCTTACCAGACTGGAGAAGGCTAGAATCAGAGGCTGATTTCTTGTTGTTCTTGGGCACAGGGAACATTATGGCAGGCTGTGAACTTATTCTGCTGTAGGCATCAAAGAGTCATGTGCTAAGGGGGTGGTCATGTAGGTGAAAGGGAAGCAATGAGAAATTGTGGGTGAACAATGAGAATTGGAATGAGGAGGGTCTGGGGGGCTGTCTAAATAGCCTTGCCCTCAGAGCATCTAGAATGGAAACCCAAGGTGAATTCCTATATTACAGAAGGCTTCCATGACCAGAACCCAAGCTAACTCTAACTTTAACCAAGTCTCTTATTCCAGTCCTAATGTAAAAGACAACCCTAACTCAACCCTATCCAAACCGAAGACTAAGCCTAAATTTAAGCCTAACCCTAGTCGTGAGCATGACACTAACCATATCCCTAGCTCTAATGCTAATGCTAATCCTATATCCAAATCTCACTCAAAACACAAATCCTCGACCTAGTTCATCTGTAACTGTAGCTCTGGCTCTAAGTTTAACCCCAGTCTTGACATAGCCTAAGGCTATCCCAGCCCTGGTCCTGGTTCTAAGCTTAGTTCAAGAGAAGGCACAGAGAGAAGAAGGGGGAGAAAGGGGAAGAAGGAGAGATGGGGAGGAAACTATATTTAAAAGCCTAGTCTCAACCATAATCCTCACCCTAACTCATCCCTAAACCTCGTGCTAGCCTTGACACCACCACTAGTCTCAACCCTAGTAGGAGTGAGCTCAAGCTTGTCCTACACCTGCTTGCAAAGTATCACCCGTCATCTTTTATGCCCGCTGACCACTTGACACGCAAGAAAAATTGGTACCAGTGTTCTGAAAAAGTGACTTCCACTCTGGAAAGTGGTTCAGTCAGCCTGCATTTTCCTGTCTATTGGTTGGAGACAGTACTAGATTTCCATCCTGCTGTGGTTCCCACAGCTGCCCTGAAGATGCAGAGCTTGCAGGAGGCTTACCATAGCCATACATGAAGGAATGTGTCCCTGCAGTGTTAAACAATTTCCAAAGCTTGTTATGGTAGATCCTGTGTTGTGTGTCAAAGCATTTTGTGTGGCTAAGGATAACTTCATCCCTAAGTAGGCTGCTTCTGGGACATTTCCTTCCAAAGGATGAGGAATTTGGGTTCCTCAAGTCTAACAGCTTGTTGGAGATCTCTGTGTTAGACAGAAGAACATGAGCTCTATTCCTGCACCCTGGAGTTCAAGGCGATTCCTGTTCCCTCTTGGCACATGCTCCAAATCACTGCCCTTCTTTAGGCCACAGGCTGCAGCCAAGGTCTTGTGGTTTATAATCAGTGGAATGTCACTAATCCAGAACTCCTCCCTTTTGAGTTGGCTGTTGCCAATTGAGTTGTTTTATAGGAATCAAGTTCTAGCTGGCCCTCTTCTCAAGTTCACTTGCTCTCCTTCCTCCAGCTTCTTCCTGGATGACCTTAACAAAAAACCTTTTCTCACTCAACTCCTCTCAATTTTCAGAATTTATTTTACGTGTGTGTGTGTGTGTGTGTGTGTGTGTGCGTGTGTGTAAGCATGAGTGTGCATACAAGTTCTGTGTAAAAGAGCATGATAGCTGGAAAGAAAGAATGAATCCTCTGGAATGAGTTACTATGTCTATACTAGGAACCAGACTAAGATCCTCTGCAGGAGCATCAAGGACTCTGAATCACTGGGCCTTTTCTTTAACCTCCTCCCAGTCTTTTCATTTTTAAAAGATTTAATCTGTAGGCTGGTGTACTAATTAGATGATATAATGTTCATGGACTACAGCAAGAGATTAGTAAATGTAGCTCCCTCTCTCTCCTTGAACATGGCAAAAACACAAGGGATTTCTCTATACTCTCTTGAAGTGAGGACAATTCTGAGCCACAGAGACATTTCTGCATCATTTTAAATATCCAAATAGTTTTCCGATGAAGCAGGCTATGCCGCACTCTCTCTCTCCACCAGAACAGCCATGAGCTAAGAAGATGATCAGTTCACAGCTCCCTTCTTTGTTAGATGATTGGCCCAAATTACTACACAGTCAGAAGAGACCATAGGGTCCAGAGGATCTAGGGCAGGATGACTGATGAGCACTGTACTCTGTAAGTCATGGAGGAAGGCTGCTTTAAGATGGTTAAGCTTACCTTTAACTGAGGAATCTATATCCCACACAGGAAAAGATATGGTACCTATTTGTTTAGAGTCTGATCCTCAGGCACCAAAGGCACAGATAATATTGTGTTTCCATGGTTCAGGTACATGACAAGGTCAATTTTCTTGACTGATACCATTGATTTTCTTTCCATTCTTGGGAATCCATTCTGGGGTTCTTATACAATATATATGGGCTGGATTCATGCTGAAGCAGGTCCTTCTTTTCTTCATGTCCTTCCTTCTTGATGATTTCTCAGCCATACACCAAAATGCACAAATATTGGATGGCTTTCTTGACACAAGCCATGTGACTATCTGGCATTAATTTGGTGTGTGTCATAGCGTCTGCTCTATATGAGATGCATGTAGAATCTCTGTATTTTCACACAGTGTGAGGGGTGTTGATATGGATAAAGGGGCAGTGAACAATGATGCCTAGATGAGGTTCTGTTCAGAGTCTCTGCTGGTCAAAGGTAAACTGGGGAGATTGGACTTTTGACTTCTGAGTAAAGGTGACTAGTTGCTGATCCCAGCTGATCTAGCCAAATTTCTTCCTGGGTGACAGCCTTTGAGAAATGCCATGAGCCAGGTCAGGCAGTAGTGAAAGGGGAAGGAGAATAATAAGCACTCCATGTCTGCCTACACCTTTCATTGTTCAGCAGAGTCACCAAGGAAGAAATACTTCCCAGAAGTGTTTAGGCTCGAGTGCTGATCTGGCAGCTGGTGGACACACATGGCCACATTTATTCTTCTTCCCTGCATTTTTGGAGCTAATCACTTATGAAAAATCAGCCATCAGTTCTCTTTTAAAAGTCCATTTTCAACAGAAAGAAGAGAAAACAGTTAGTGAAGGGAAGCTAGCAGGGAAGCTAGCAGCAGGGACACTGGAGCACCCTAGTGCTGAACCTGCCCCAGAAGCACACTGGGTCTCTAACCACCCACCAGCCCTGAAGCCCCACCCCATGAACAGCATGGAGTGAAACATGACCACTTCTTTTCTGCAATAAACCTGACTCACCTCTCAGAAATCATACAATCTCTTAGGAAAGATTCAGAGAGCAAACATACCTGACTCAATCAACATTTTGATCATCAGTTGAGAAGCCACGTAAACCATGTGTCTGTTTCCAAGAGGGAAAAATGTACTGACTCAAGAAGTGTGGGAATCTGGAGACAGGAATCTCTTCCATTCTCATCTACTGGCTCAAAACATCCCCTTGGGTGGCCATGTGCTGGATCATCTGTCCATACAGAGTCTATAATAGTGGAAAATGCAGATAGATGATACCTGGTTCTCTGGAGTTGTCAGCTAATGATAAGGTGGGCTGTACAACCCTGTAATTAAATTCATATAACACAATGCTTTAAGTGCCCAAGTTTATTACCATGCCACGGTCACCTGATATAGCCACGAAGAATTAAATCATGCCATCTGGAGGGGCCACAGTACAAGTGATTCTGTGGCAACTTTAAGAAGAGCAATCAGACTTTTGAGATCTTTATCAGAAACAGAATGTAACAGCAGTTGCCAGGATCAGTACAGTTGTAGTTTCCAGGATACAGTGAAGTTTGCAAACTACACAGGGTACAGAAGATCAGTGTCTAAGAACAATTGTCCTCTCAGGCTTCTATGCTTCCTTGACTTCTGAGGGAACATACAGAGAAACACAAAGTAGCCTGAATCCTTCATTGCCTGAGGGAGTGCCTTTGTCTCTCAGGTCCTGGAAGGCACATGGTGCGCCAGGAGCCATGGACTCTAGCAGGAAAAACCTATGATGCATGCCTCTTAAAGCAGCTAGGTTAGGCCAGCTCCATGGTTCCCTACACGACAAAGCACATTGGTGATATGAGTAGCCTATGGAGGGGCTGGCAGAGAAGGGAGACATGTGGTAGTAAACAGAGGTGTTGCACATAAGAGCCACACAGGGTGGGGGTGACCAAGGCACAAAAACTGGTGTGAGGGCTGGGCATTGGGGAGTCACCAGGACTAGACAAACCAGTGTGCTGACCATGGGAGCCATGTCTTTCAGAGTGCTGAATTTGCTCACCAATAAGCCATGAGATTTAAGGTGGTTGCATGGTCAAGAACAAGGGATTGGACTTGCTGAAGCCCTTGCCACTCTTCATACTGCTGTGATAATACATCATGACCAATGCAATTGTAGAAGAAAGAGTTTATTTGGGGTGCACAGTTTCAGAGCGTAAAGGTATAAACATCATGGTGGAGAATATGGCAGCAGGCAGGCTGACATCGGGCTGGAGCAGTAGCTGAGAGCTTCCATCTGATCCACAAACATGATGTAGGGAGAGCAAACAGGATGATGAGCCTCAAAGCCCACCCCAATGTCACAGCTCCTCCAAGGCCACACCTCCTAATCCTTCCCAGTTGAGTTTCACTAATTGAGGACCGAGTGTTCAAATATATGAGCCTGTGGGGACATTCTCATTCAACCGTTTGCAGGGTACAAAGGATGCAAGGATTCCTTCTTTATTGTATTTCACTGAACCTTAGTGGTCAAGGATCTAATACAAAATTCTCACAGTTTCTAACTTGGATGATAAAAATACCCAACATTGCTATTGATGTCATTCTGCAGATATATATATATATATATATATATATATATATATATATATATATATATATATATCTTTTAATTAGTTTTGTTTGATTTTTGCTAAGAAGAAAACCTTGTTGCTTTGATTTTTTTTTTTTGGTGTATTGACATCACCAAATTATTTTTCTAAAGCAAACAAAACAACTCAACCTCCTTAAATATGTAAACATTTTTTTGTTCCTTTTTGTCACTGTGGATAAATTTTGCTCAATAAAATTTTCAGTATCGTCTGGGGTTTTCCTAAGAAAGGAATAGAGCAGAAGTCCCATGCTTGTGCCATACAGGGTGAAGATCCAGCATGTTGCTCACTAGTTGGTTCTTTAAAAAAGCTGATTCATATAAGATTGTGGCAGCTTTAACAGGGATCAGATTGCAGCCTGAGGGACAGAGCTTGAATACAACACAGATACCCCTACCCTCTGCATTGGCACACTGTCTCCAAATCTGTGTTTCCAACCAAGGTATGATAACATTTTCCATGTCTGAGAAGGAAAAATTTGAGGTCAAGTGTAATTTCCCAGCAGGAGACCCCCTGCTAGGCCAGAAAAGTGCAACAGCCCTACCCCTATGGGATTGAGAGAGGTGCCCCATGACTGTTGGAGATGATTCCTGCTGTGGACTGTATCAGCATCCTCTGATTCATAGGCAGAGGCTTAGCTAGCCTCCAGAGCACTGGCCCAAAAGACATGGGGCCTTCGGGAGGTGAGCAGGTTTAGGTGAGATCAGCACTGTGAAGTCCTAGCAATGGGAATAGTGCCCCCCATAAGAGTAGGAAAAGACAGCTGGGCATGTTGACAGATGCATTTAGCTGCAGCACCCTGGAGGCAGAGGCAGGTGGATCTCTGAGTTCAAGGCCAGTTTTGCCATAGAATGAGTTCCAGGATAGTTAGGGTTGTGTAGAGAGACCCTGCCTTAAAATACCAGAGTGGGAAGGAACATTAAAATTATCTCTGCTGCGCAAAGACACAGCAAGGTAGGGAGAGAGGGTCCTCCCTAGCAGCTGATTCCCTGCTTGGGGCCTTCAACTTCAGAACTGTGGGATGATACATCTGTGAGTTTGGCTATTAGCATGTTTTTCCCACCATAGCTGGGCAATTGGAGAAGCCTCCTAAATGACCAGCTTCTTTGCTTTCTTGGTTCTGAGACTGGTCATGACCAGGCCATGAGGAACAGCCTCCCTAGATCTTCCCTCAGCTGCAGCTTTCCCTCCACACACTGCACTGTTACCAACCAGGCTATCTTGGATGCCCCGCCTCTACTCATTGACTCCCTGGAGTAGAAACATCCCCATGTGAGACCTCACTGGCCTGGGCCCTACCCACTGGCTTTAGATAAAACTTCTTGACCCAGCCAGTCATGGGAGGGCAGATGTGTGCTTACACTGCTCTTTAAGAGAAAGTCATTGACCTTTGAGGGGCTGTGCTCTTTGTCCTAGAGACGAGGCTTGGAACAAGGCTCTTATTCTTTAGACTCTCCAGTTATCCATGGAGAGAAAATTTCCATTTATAAGCAGGAAGGCTGGTGCCCACAAAGGCTCTTGAAAAGGTGGGGCACAAGGGGCAGAACCAAGCTGGCATCCCTGAGTACCCTATGTGGATGCTACTGCATTGTAGTTGGAAAAAATCAGTTACCCTGTTTTCCATGTGATGAGGGATTCAGGACAGAGATGTGGAGCATGACACACCATGCTGGGATTGAGCTGGAATGAGAACTGCTTTCTTTGTGTGTGTGTGTGTGTGTGTGCGCGCCCGCGCGCGCATTTGGAAATTGGAGGTCAACTCCAGGTGTCATTCTTCACTCCTGGAACTTGCCAAATGGCCTAGGCTGGTTAGCCAGTGAGCTCCAAGCATTTGCTGTCTGCACTTGTCTGGTGTTTGAATCAGACGTGTATGCCACTGTGCCAAGCTTTCTTCTGAAGATAGAACTCAGGTCCTGTGCTTGCACCAGCTGAACCAGCCTTGTGAGCAGTCTTCTAATTCCAAGTTCCTGGTTCCCTCTATCCTAGTTGTATACTGGGATTCCTGTACCTGAGTCTGCTGCCTCAATGCCCGTTCGTAATGGAAATCAATAGCCTTTCGCGTGCAATCGACTGACTCCGTAAGTTATAAAATATTGCAAGAGCCATTGTGCAAACTCTCAGGGATCAGGGTCCTGCCAGGCTCTAGTCTAACACCAACTGATGTGAGGTTTGGATTGGACTGAAAGAGCAAACCCAGTTTTCTTCCCACAGCCTGTGTTGTGACACACAGAAACACGAACTGCATTGTGGGAGGAAAAATCAAATCTGTGGCCAAATAAATTTGGGTAGTTGTGGAGAAGATACCAAAATTTCCGAGATTTATTTCTAATTGTGATAAAGGTATTTGTAGAAGGAGCGGCAGGCTGCGTTCCCACCCAGCTCCCGCACGGCTAGCTTTACACCCAAAATAACAACACACAAATTGTATTCTTTTAAACACTGCCTGGCCCGTTAGTTCTAGCCTCTTATCGGCTAATTCTCACATCTTGATAAACCCATTTCTAATAATCTGTGTAGCGCCATGAAGTGGTGGCTTACCGGGAAGGATCTTAACCTGCGTCCATTTTAGAGAGGAGAGCTATAGCGTCTGCCTCACTGCCTTCTTCCTCCCAGCATTCAGTTCTGTTTACTCCGCCTACCTAATTTTCTGTCCTATCAAAAGGCCAAGGCAGTTTCTTTATTAACCAATGAAAGTAACACATAGACAGATGACCCTCCTCCATCAGGTATTAGCATATATTACATCATTTTCGTAGGTGTGATAAAACACTCTGCAAAAGTGACTGACGGAAAAAGGAGTTTATTTCAGCTGATGGTTCCAGGGGCATAAGAGCTCATTATGGGAGGCATGTCAGCAAGGATAAGTTCAGGAGTGGGGGAGCTTAGAGATCAACTCTTCAGACAGGAAGGGGGGAGAGAGAGAGAGAGAGAGAGAGAGACAGAGAGAGACAGAGAGAGACAGAGAGAGAGACAGAGAGAGAGAGAGGTTGGAGTAGGAGATAAATCCCCAATGCCTGTCTCCAGTAATGTAAGTTCTCCAGCAAATCTCCACCTCCTGAAGGTTTCATAGCCTCCCCAAATGTCACCACCAACTGGGGACCAAGTGTTCAAAATCATGAGCCTTTGGGGACATTTCTCATTCAAACCACATTACATAGTGTGTGCCTAGAACAAAAGGCACAGATCTTAGCTATCTGGCCCAACAAATCTTAACATAAAATCATTTCCTTGTAGCCACCATTCTGATCAAGAATAGAATATATTTAGCTCTCCAAAATGTTTCTTGTGTCCCTCCCAGTCAATAAGTCCTCACCAAAGATAATCACTGCTCTGTCTTCCTCTACCGTGGAAAGGTTTTTCCTGTTTTATATAAATGTGTCCATTCTTGTGTAGTTCCTTTCTACAACACAGTGTCTGTTGTGTTAGCACACAGTGCATATGCTGTTTGTATTTCATGGCTGTGTGGGAGTTCACTTATTTGTCTTTCTCTTAATGCGTATTTCCTGACAGCAGCTGTTTTAGGTATCAGTGTATTCCTGCTGGGCTCCCAATTTGCCCTTTCTCAAAGGCTGTGAAAGTAGATCTGGATCTTTTGAACACTGTTCCTCACAATTCAGCTCTTAAAGCTTGTCAGCAGAGGGTGAAACTGGAGAAGCCTTGAAGGGGAAGCATTTTCCTAACAGGTCAGCCGGGCTGGCATTGCAGGCTCCTATAGCATCATAGCACCCAGCAGAAAGCAGCTTCACTGAGAACACATCCTCTGGGGTTTCAAGCAGAGTGCAGCTGTAAGGTAAATTGCAAATAGATTCCCCAGGCAAACCAGAGGTCTTCAGCTCTCTCTGTCTCTCTCATGTGCACGTGCATATGTGTGTATGTGTGTGTGTGTGTTAAAACATGTTCCTGTGAAGTGCAACTGCATGGCTCTGCCTTTCCCCCATGGTCCAGATCTAAGCCTGGGGCTGTGAGGTTTTGCCTTGGCTGTGCATCTCAGTCTGGGATGGGCAGTGACTCTTCTCAGTCCTCCAGAGGTCTCTTCTTCCTCTGGTTAATCTTGCACTGTTCACATCTGCCCCTAATGCAGCAACTTCTTTTGTATTAATTTCCTGTTTGCAAATAACTCAGTGACTTCTCTCTCTTGTTTGGATCCAGAGGCATTTTTGGGAGAGCTAAGCCATGCTACCATAAATGTTCTGGGCTGTGTCTCTTGGTGTCCACCAGTAGTCATTTCTGTTGGGTATGATCAGGAGATGTTTGCTCAGTCGTGACATGTGTGTCCTGCTTAGGTGGATGCTGCCAAGGCAGGCGGGCCTTTTCTAAGTGTTTCTTCTTCTTCACCTTCTCCTTCACATTATTATTATTATTATTATTATTATTATTATTATTATTATTATTATTATTATATTACTTTAAAAAAATACCCTTCCAAATTCCTACTTCCTCCCCTCCTCCCACTTTCCTCCCACTCCCTCTACACACTCTCCTCCCACCCCTTCCAATCTTAAGAGAGGGCAAGGCACACTGCTCTGTGGGAAGTCCAAGTCCCTCCCCACTACATCCAGACTGAGCAAGGTATACATCCAAAAAGAATAGGATTCCTAAAAAGCCAGTACATGCAGTATAGACAAATCCCATTTCCATTGGCTTCTCAGTCTTCCCCAACTGTGAACCACATTCAGAGGGACAGGTTTGATCCCATACTCGTTCATTTACAGTCCAGTTGGAGTTGGTGAGCTTCCATTAGCTCAGGCACATTGTCTCAGTGGGTAAACCCCTCATGGTCTTGACTTCCTTGCTCATACTCACCCTCTTTCCACTCTTCAACTGGACCTTGGGAGCTCAGTCCAGTGCTCCGATGTGGGTGTTTGTCTCTGTTTCCATCTGCTGTTGGACAAAGGTTTTATGGTGATATTTAAGATAATCATCAGTCTGACTACAGGGCAAGGCCAGTTCAGGCACCCTCTCTTATTGCTTTAGGGTCTTAGCTGGGGTCATCCTTGTGGATTTCTGGGAATTTTTCTCGAGCCAGGTTTTTTGCTAACCCCCAAATGGCTCCCTCAATCAAGATATCAAGATACCTCTTTCCTTGCTCTCACATCTGTCCTTCCTCCTCAACTATCCCATTCCCTCAAACTCTCCCCAACCCTCCCTTTCTCCCCTCCTCTTCCCTTTCTCCCCTTCCTTCTAGCCCCCACCCCCATGCACCCAAATTTTGTCAGGCGATCTTGTCTGATTCCAATTTCCAGGTTCCAATTTCCATATATAAACATTAATATATGTTTTTCTTTGGGTTCACCTTATTACTTAGCTTCTCTAGAATCAAGAACTATAGGCTCAATGTCCTTTGTTTATGCCTAATATCCACTAATGAGTGAGTACATACCATATTCATATTGGGCCTAGGTTATCTCAATCAGGATAGTATTTTCTAATTTCATTAATTTGCATGCAAAATTCAAGATGTCATTGGTTTTTTAGCGCTGAGTAGTACTCTACTGTGTAGATGTGCCACACTTTCTTTATCCATTCTTTTGTTGAGGGGCATCTAGGTTGTTTCCAGGTTCTGGCTATTACAAATAATGTTGCTTTGAAAATAGTTGGGCAAATGTCTTTGTAGCATGACTGAACATCTTTTGAGTATATGCACAAGAGTGGTATTGCTGGATCCTGAGTTAGGTTGACTCCCAATATTCTGAGAAACCACCATACTGATTTCCAAAGTGATTGTTAAGTTTGCTTTTCTACCAGCAATGGAGGAGTATTCCCCTTACTCCACATCCTCACCAGCATATGCTATCATTGGTGTTTTTGATTTTAGCCATTCTGAAAGGTGTAAGAGGCTATCTCAGAGCTGTTTTGAATTGTATTTCCCTGATAGCTAAACATTTTGAACATTTCTTTAAGTGTTTTTTGGCCATTTGGGATTCTTCTGTTGAGAATTCTCTGTTTAGCTCTGTACCCCATTTTTAGTTGAATTATTTCAAATTTTGATATCTAATTTCTTGAGTTCTTTATATATTTTGGAGATCAGTCCTCTGTCTCATGTGCGGTTGGTAAAGATCTTTTCCCATTTTGTAGGCTGTCTCTTTGTCTTATTGACTGTGTCCTTTGCATTACGGAGCTTCTCAATTTCAGGGGATCCTATTAATTTATTGTTGCTCTCGGTGTCTGTGCTACTGGGGTTATATTTAGGAAGTGATTGCCTGTGCCCTTGTATTGAAGAATACTTCCCACTTTCTTTTCTATCAGGTTCAGTGTGGTCAGATTTATATTGAGGTCTTTAATACACTTCAACTTGAGTTTGGTGCATGGCAATAGTTATGGATCTATTTTCATTCTTCTACAGGTTGACAACCAGTTATGCAAACACCATTTGTTAAAGATGCTTTCTTCCATTGTATAACTTTAGCTTCTTTGTCAAAATCACTTGATCATAAGTGTGTGGATTAATATCCTGGTCTTCTATTCAATTCCATTGGTCAATGTCTCTGTTTTTATGCCAGTACCAAGCTGTGTTCATTACTGTAGCTCTGTAATAGAGTTTGATGTCAGGGATGGTAATGCATCCAGAAGTTCCTTTATTGTATAGGATGTTTTTGGCTATCCTGGGTTTTTTGGTTTTCCACTTAAGTTGATCATTGTTCTTTCAAGGTCTGTGAAGAATTGTGCTGGGATTTTGATGGGGATTGCATTGAATCTATAGATTGCCTTTGGTAGAATTGCCATTTTTACTATGTTGATCCTACCAATCTAAGAGCATCGGAGATCTTTCCATTTCTAGTATCTTCTTCAGTTTTTTTCTTCAAAAACTTAAAGTTCTTGTCAAATAGGTGTTTCACTTCTTTGGTTAGTGTTACCACCGAGATACTTTATGCTATTTGTGGCTATTGTGAAAGGTGATGTTTCTCTGATTTCCCTCAGCTTCTTTATCCTTTGTGTATAGGTGGGCTACTGATTTTTTTTGAGTTTATCATGTATTTTGCCACATTACTAAAGGTGTTTATCAGCTGTAGGAGTTCTTTGGTAGAGTTTTTGGGGTTGCTTACGTACTCTGTCATATCATCTGCAAATAACAAAAGTT